ATGAACCTTTCATAAGGACAAGTGACTGTGCTAGACTACAGGCCTCAATCTGTAGATTTCTGAAGGAGCTCTTGAAATTCATTCTTCTTTGTCAACAAGGACTGCATGATATAACTGGTACTCTGTGAATAAATAAACCTCCTCAGCAGGCAGCAGGTGCTTGTTCTTGAAAGCCATGGCTGACCGAGTGTATCAGAGTATTACAAGCACTGCAGCCACTGACCCACCGGCCCACCGCTAGGCTTTGACAATGCCTATTGTAAATATAGGTTTGCTAAAGGAAACAAAATGTCGGGGACTTAGTTGAATGTTAAGGCATTAGCAGTTGGTGTAAGACTCTTTGTGAAACACGCCCTAGAGCCCCAAATATGACACTCACACCTTTGTGTGACAAGACGAAAGACCTGTAAGTGAGTGAAACTGAATGTTTAACATTGCTACCAGCATTCTCACAACTGTATCTTAGCAGTGAGCAATCTTGAAGCTTTATCTTGGCAGCTAGTAATCTGTTTGCTTGATCAGCTGAGAACTATAGAAGCATAGTACTATATAGTCTTAGGTTCAATATTGTTACAATTCTTTACAAGTCTGACACAAGGAGACTTTGTTATTCTGGAAATAGCTTCAGAGTGAGAGAAACTAAATTTTTAACATTGCAACCACTACTCTTACAGCTTTATTTTGGCAGCTAATAATCTTTGCTATAATTTGTTGGTTCAACTGAGAACTATATATCCATAGTATGGTCTTAGGTGCAATAATGTTACATGTCCTTATGAGTTTAACACAAAGAGACTTTGTTATTCTGGAAATAGCTTCAGACAAGGAAATACCTTATAAGAGGAAATACCTTATAAGTGATTACAAGTGAGCAATCTAAAGATTAAAAGTGTCGCAGTTATTGAAATAGAATGTTAATAACAGTGTCTTGATGTGCTGTTTTCTTTGATCTGCCCACACATAAGACAGGGGTCCGAGGGGTTCATGACACAGAGGTCAGTAGAGGTCATCACACAGAGGTCAGAGGAGGTCATAACACAGAGGTCAGAGGGGTTCATCACACAGAGGTCAGAGGAGGTCATAAAACCTCCCTAAAAAATTAACATTCTGTCAACATGACCAGTTTCTGCTGACAATAAATGAGTCCAGCGGTAAAACTTGTAGCTCATCATGCTCAAGGCCCCAGTTTGAATCCTATCATGGATACTTGAACCCTAACATAGCCTATGTCTGGTGCCCCCACTGTGTTATTGTTTAACAATCTCTCTCTTTCTCCCCCCCCCAAAACATACACTGGAACCTGTAGGTTAATGATGCAGTTTGTGGAGGTCCGGCAGAGTAACCTGTGAGGTACCTGCATTAGGATTTCACAACAAAACACCTGTCAGACTAGATTATCTGCTGAAAAACTACATCACTTACTCAGTACTTACAAAATTATCATACTTCCCCATTTCTGGTGTCCCCCACCATGATATTGCTGGAATATTGCTAAAAGTGGCATAAAATTAAACTCACACACTCTTGCAAATCAGGCTATTTTTACACCGATATTTAAAAAAAAAAGAATCTATTGATCATACCCTTCTGCATCTATGAATTCAGTTGTGAAATAATTTTGAAAAGCACAAAATCTTTTGTATAATATTCATATTATCAAATCATTTCATGCTGCGTCAGCAAATTGTGGGTGATCCGCACAAAGACATACTTTGTTATTTCAAATAACATCCGATATTAAAAAATCATCAAGTTTGCAACAATGCCGTTATTTTGAACCTTTGGAAATAAATACAAAATATCACTGTGAGTCATGTCGCATTTGAATTCAAAGTCACACAGGACACACCCTTGATTGCTGTAGAGGAACAGCTGCCTACACTCAGAGTCAGGGTATCAGAGGAGACCAGGGGCACTGTAGTTAGTCAGCTGACCCCCTCTCTGTCCCCCCTTCCGTACACCCACGCATGACCACGTGATCATTGCAAGCTGTTTGCTGAATACAAGTTTGGCATCAACTTTCTAAACTGAACATGTCTTATTGGGGGAAAACCCAACAGTTGAAAAATTATCTTCACAAATAGAATTTAAAAAGCCAAGAGACATGAAATTGCAGTAATCCAAATAGACTTGCATGGGCCTCAACTTCCTGACTATTTTAGACTTGCATGGGCCTCAACTTGCTAATTATTTTAGACTTGCATGGGCCTCAACTTGCTAACTATTTTAGACTTGCATGGACCTCAACTTGCTAATTATTTTAGACTTGCATGGGCCTCGACTTGCTAATTATTTTAGATTTGCTTGGGCCTCGACTTGCTAATTATTTTAGACTTGCTTGGGATTCATCTTGGTGAAGTAGTTATAATTTACCAAAACTAACTTGTGCCAAAGACAGAATGATATCTGCCTATCACTGAATACACTAATTAACTTGTAGTAAAATATGTTGGATTCCTTTACACTTTTTAAAATAATTACCTCAGAGTTACTTCTATAATAATTATCCCCAATAGATAACCAATTAGCTAGGTACTTATCAATCTCTATGATCAACATTGACGGCCAACCCTAGTTCATATAGTGTAGTAAAGGGCAGACTTGCACATTAGTCTCTCAGTAAACATTAAGTTCAAATGATAATTTCTAAAAAATAAATAACAGACTGGGGTCCTTCTGCTTATCTAGACTTGCCTCTTTGAAGGATAGAATTACTATACACCATGGGCTCAGGGCTCATTCACTACAGCCTTGAAGCAAGGCTAAGCAATGGGTTGCTTACTCAGAAGCTGTATCAAGGATACAAACACATCTGAACATTTATAACTTTCAAGTCCAGGGAAAGTACATGATTATTTTTCAAAATACCACCCTTTTCATGCTATTGTCCCCAGACAAGCAGGAGTGGTGGTCAGTGTCGGATGCAAGGTGATAGATGGTGTGGAAACATCCATGGAATTCCCATGTCTATTGTCACCATGTCAGCAGGAGGATGGGTTTCGCAGGAACAGGTCTCACTCTAGCTGAATGACCCCGTACCCCACAGCTTGGGGTGGTGAGTCACAACATTAATATTGTCTACTTTTTATATTTGGATAGGCTTTGAATTGAAACTATTGTAATATTTTTTATTTCATAACATTTCTAAAATATTTTAAACAAGGGGCTGTGGGAAGTTCTTTTTCTTGTAGACTTGCCAAAGAAAATTGAAGACTTGCTGGGAATTTACTTATTTCTGTTTGGGTTTTTTGGGGGTTATGTTGAGGTTTTGGGGTCTGTGTGAGACGCTGTTAGCTCTCCAGCATGGTCTGGGAAATCTAGTTCAGCGGTATTGGAAACAACGCAACAGATTTTCAGATAGATTTATTGTGGAAGTTTGAAGAGGGCAGGAATTGAAAGTGATGCAGGATCACACCGAAGGCCAAGGATCATAACTTGAGAATTCACAGACTCAAACTTTAGCAGTAGATCCTGGTCAAAAGAAGGAAGGCAACTCTCCTGCCGATCATGTGACCAGCAGATCCTGGTCAGATTTAGGGATACACACTATACCCATTCATAAAGAGCCATAGCGAAGAAACAAGAAATTGAAAACAAAACACACAAAAAACACAAGGACTTGTGATAAATAAGATCTGTCCAACTGTGTCTTACAGTAAAATGAAAACACACAGAACATTTTATCTGCACAGTCAGTAAGAAATGATGAAGAATATAAAGATGATTCTATGTAACAAATGTATTGAATCATCTTTCAGCATAATTTCATAATCATGTCATTGAGTTACTGTGACCTTAAAGGTTGTTATTTATTTATTAGTAGCAGAGTAGTGAGTGAGTGAGTGAGTGAGTGAGTGAGTGAGTGAGTAAGTTTAGTTACTGTGACCTTAAAGTTTGTTATTTATTTATTAGTAGCAGAGTAGTGAGTGAGTGAGTGAGTGAGTGAGTGAGTAAGTAAGTTTAGTTAACGCCGCTTTTAGCAATATTCCAGCAACATCACGGTGGGGGGACACCAGAAATAGGCTTCACACATTGTACCCATAGTAGAAAGTCTGGATATTGAAATATAATAAAATACATCTTATTACCAACACTGAACAAAGTTAAATAGGCCAAACATTTTGAAAAAAAAGCTAACAAACTGTCAAAGGCCTAACACTTTCCAAGCGGAAGTTGCACACGATTGATATAAATTATTTGTTGGATAACAAGTACTCCATGTGTAGGATGGCTGTAAAATTCTCACGACTCCACACCCAAACTGTTTTCTCAATGGCCTAAAGTATTGATTGCATGACTGGGTCTGAATAGGTTGTGTTTAAATCACTAGGCCAAACAAAGACTTTTATTGAGGAAATATGTGTGCTTAACAGAATATGCAGTGTGAATGAATGCCATTCATGTAAATATTTGAGCTTGCTGTTCTTCTCTACATACTCTAATGTGTAGACACTGTGACACTGGGGCAATAGCTTTGCTCAAAGTCTCTGCTGAATTATAAGTTTAAGCTCTGATAAAACTGGGCTTGCTTCCTGTATATATATGCTTGGAGGGGTAGCCTAGTGGTGAAAGCGTTTGCTCATTACACCGAGGGCCTGGGTTTGATTCCCCACAAGTCCATTTCTGGTGTCCCCCATCATGATATTGCTGAAATATTGCTAAAAGCGGCGTAAAACCATACCCACTCACTCCATATATACTTTGAGGCTCAGCCACTAGCCTTGACCCAAAACTTAAGGGTCAAGAGTCTAATCGGGGGTATTTTTATGAAATTGTGGGCTCAGCATTTACTACACCCCCACACACCCAAAACAAACATGTTTAAAAAATAAAACAACCCCCCAAGTTATTCCAGATCCCCAAAACGATTTGGTTCCGAATACATCTGTGATCTTTCTCAACACGTGTGCCAAATAAACAAGGTAAAGCATTCCTGTTTCGACTTTGGCAGCCATCTTGTGAGTGAAGGGAAAATTGACATTCAGTAAGTCGTTACTTACCATGCGTACAGACACTCGACATATACAAGATTCTAGCAGCCCCGTGGTAGCGTTGGCCATCATCTTGCACGTGAAGGGGAACTTGGAGTTCCACTTGACACTGTTGTTCCGAACTGTCTCCCTGAAACAACAAAAGGGTTGTTAACTAATCTATAAAACCCTCACATACAAATGTAGATTAAGAGGAGCAGCACTGAGGGGGTGAGTTCACAGATATGCCAACCCTCATTTAGCCAAATTAGTATTTCGACCAAAAACTGATGCAAAAAAAAGAAGTATTTTTGTTGGGCCAAAATTCTGGCCAAAAATCTTTTCCTAGGAATTTTCTTATTTAATAAAAAATATATATAGACATTCTATGAACTTGTTATTAACATTGTACTCCCCTAAATCAGTAGCAAGTATTCACATATAGCTTCATACTGAATAAAATGTGGTTGCAATTTATTGTGTATGGTAAGTATGCTCTTTGATAATTTAGTTTAATTAATTTTCAAATATTCGTATACTTTTACTGCTAACGTAGTCACTTATTTTGTGTTGCTTTTTCGCAACGAATATGATAAAATCGTATGGGTTGGCATCTCTAAGTTTAGTTTTACGCTGCACTCTGCAATATTCCAGCTATATGGTGGCGGTCTGTAAATAATCGAGTCTGGACAAGACAATCCAGTGATCAACAGCATAAGCATTGATCTACGCAGTCGGGATACGATATGTGTCAACCCAGTCAGTGAGCGTGACCACCTGATCCCATTAGTCGCCTCCTACGACAAGCATGGGTTACTGGCGATCAATTGTAACCCGGATCTTCACGGGTAGGAATAGCACTGAGGTTATGTCACGTATTTTGTTTTTTTCATGTTACTTTTAGCAATATGCCAGCAATATCACATGGGGGACACCAGAAAAGGTTTCATACATACAACCCATCTCGGGAATCAAACCCTTATCTTTGGCGTAACAAGTAAATGCTTTAACCAATAGACTATCCCATAGCCCCACGTATGTTGATGAAAGCAATGAAATCATCCCAACAATAATTATTATATATTTAATAATCATTATAATCATTGTCAACTAATACCATACATGATTACAAGCATACTGATAAACTGCCATACATTTTTCAAATAATATTTCTACATTCTATCGGTGTTCTATTTATTGGGTTCCAACACAATATACCATAATATTACGCCTCTATCAGTATAGTTTAACTTAAAATGTTCCCTTTCGAAATTAATTAGCAACTGCTGAAGTCTTTTTCTCACAATTTGTTATTTCCCTTGTATCCATGACAACAACATGGTGGCAACCAATCATGATCATTTTGAAACTATGATATTTAATTCAGTATGAACAAAATGAAATCAACACATGAATTAAGTGAAAATCACTGTCACACTGCCCGTCGCTCTCTATGTTTCACAATAAAGATACCATTAACTTGATAGACTTTGTTTTGCCAATACATTGCTCCATAATTTACATCATGATTATAATCATTATTTTCATCATAATCTTCATCACTACTAACTTAGCATGTACTTTCATTGAATTTTTACAAGACACAAGATACAATGATCAATAATAGTAAACCCCATTACCATGGTTACGAAAACATCATCAACTGAAGTACGGATTGATAATCATATATAATCACATTAATTATCATTGCTACACTGTACCAAACACAATTTACAAGTTCAAATCAGGACAAAGGTCAGTCACTGCTAGTAGGATGGAGTGACCTACTCGGGATTACAACTTGTTTACATTTACAAATTCCTATTGTGCCTCCATGTCAAAACTTGTCTCTGACTAACTGTGACTGTTGAGTGAGACGAGATCAAAGTTCAAGTACATCTTCATTGTGACAACGAAAACTTGTGAGTGTTGAATGAATGAGATCAGTTGAAACCATGTAAACTGGGTCATGGATAATAATCATGGATACTATTTCAGACAAATCCGTATTCCGAATCATAAAATATTCACATGCTAATCTCGAGATACATAGAGAGGGTATGGTATAAAATCCTACATGAACCATAATATGGTGATATCATTGCACGTCAGTTTTAATGAGTAAGTGAGTTTGTTTTACGCCGCTTTTAGCAATATTCAAGCAATATCACAGCGGAGGACAGAAAAATTGTGCTTCACACATTGTACCCATGTAGGGAATCGAACCCGGGTCTTCAGCCTAACTAGTGAATGCTTTAACCAGTAGACTACCCCACAGCCTCCAGTTTTAATGAAAACCACCAGAATTATGAGGCTCACCAACAAGAAAGTGAGCGAGCTAAAACTCAGTAATATGTCTGCCATGCTATGAAGCAGACGGTATTACAGTGGTATCACTATTGACCAGAATATCAGAATTGTGTTTGATCATATAGTAGTGAATAATGTGTGGTTAATGTGAAAAGGCCTTAACCATAAATAAATGTAGCTGAGCACATAACTCTTGTAATATTATATATGGCACCAAATTCAATCTCAGTCTTGACTGTATCTTCGAAAAGCTTGCAAAAAATTTCATTGGTATGCCTTCAGAAGTCTCAAGAAAACTTGTCACCATTGGGTCTCTTTACACAGAGTAAAACAAGGAAACACAAAAACTCTTGTTGAGAAATACCAAAACATGAAAAGGAAGCAGTTCAGTATGTGCTTGATGCAAACAAAGTTTCAATATAATATTCAACATACAGTCGAGCACCATTGTGTCGAACTCTGATATTACTCACTATCTCGGTTGTCTCGATACAACATCTCGGTCCCGGCAAAATCCTTCATAATTTATCATTATTCAAGCTCTTTTAACTCGATATGAATGTCTCGATATTTCAGATATCTCGATATAATTTCATCGTCCCAACAAGCAAAATTACCCTTTTAACTTGATATTTGCAAAGAAACTGATATTCACCTACCTTTCATGGGCAAGTATCCCTCTGAACTGAGGTTGTTTCCACACGTTTACACACAGTGCGGCATGAATCAAACGGATGCGGTAGTGTAAACTAGGCTAATTGAGTTGAAGGTGTCAATTGTTTGTTATTTAATTAGGATTAATTAAGAAGGAATTAATAAGGAAGTACTGTTACGACTAAACACGACTGTTAACGGATTATAGTTTCGAATCAAAGCATACTGAGAAGAGTTATGTTTTCTTTCATAGTGATATGTGATGATATGCCCTGGTCGGATGCCTCGAAGTTCGGATAACTTGATATTTTTTCTCTACCGGTCCCATGAATATCAAGACAACAGTGCTCGACTGTATTCCCCGTCATGCTACAGAAACAAATGCTCTACATACTTGATTCTGATACATAAAGTTTGAAGCTATAAAGTTTTAAAATATAACATTAAACAGAATCCTCATTATGCCCCAGAAACAAACGGTCCACATACCTGACTCTGAGACCACATTGTTAAAGGAAAAACTAAAAAATATGACATTAATTTTCAGAAATACCAAAACACCGGTACCAAGAGGCACCAGTTCAACATGTGTTTCATAGATACACAAAGTTTCAAAATGGAATATCAAATGATTTCTGAGCTACAGTCCTAAAAAGGATGAGTAACTGAGGATGAGGCTGTGTGATAACTCGCTGCATGAGTTGAACACTCCCCAGGGAGTTGAGTTAGTTAAAAGAATGCCAGAAAAATCACATCCATTGGTCAAGGGAACACTCCAGTGCCTTGAGCATGTACTAGTTGCTTGGATATGTGCGCTACATAAATATCCTATCATCATCATCATCATCATCATAAAAAACAACATGACAGAAGGATGGACATTACCCATTCATGCTGCCTACTTCTTAGAAGGAGATAATTAAGAGGAATGATGGTTGAGTACACTTTCTACAAATATATTCTTATCAGACAACAAATGGGTAAATGTTATCAATGCAACAGTTGGTTTCACAGACAGCATCAGTCAGCTGAAGTGATGGTTCTTCAGCTGCTGCTTGAACTGTACAGGGTAAGATGAGGGCTCGTGCTCCTCAGGAAGTGTGTTCCAATGATGTGCAGCTACTTGAGAAAATGACTGACACCAAATGTTTTCAATTTGGACTCAGGAAGCTTGTGTTGAGAGCTTGACCTAAGATAACTGGTTTGGCAGAACTCATCACAAAGTGACATAGATAGCATGCTCCTCTGCCCATTCACGCATTGATAAGAGAAAGATAGCCCTTGAAGCATATGCTTTTCAGACAGGAAGCCAGCATGTTTACAACAATGTACACAGTAGCAGCGTAAATATCACAAGCAATAAACAGCAAACAGTACAGTAAAAAGTTAACAGTAAAATAAAACCAGACAATCACTGTCAGTGTCCACATAATATTCTGTTATTACAAATCAAAATTTACAAATGTCTGATAATCACGAGTAGCTTTCTCAGACTTTCTTATTCATAACATGAATCTTTTGCAATTGTATCGTACATATGGAAAGAAAAGAGAACCTTTAATCTCAATAGCTATATTTAGGGGGTATACTATACTGAGTGAAAAAAATAAGGGATCACATGAAAGCAATTATTTTTTTCCAGGTTTCTCCACAAGCTGTGCATACAAAGCTTGTGAAGAAACCTTAGAAAAAAATAATTTAACACTTGTCCTTTCATGTGATCCCTTATTTTCTTCCTTCAGTATACGTGGCTACAGCAGATATTCCTGGATATACTGATCACAGTAATCTGGAATTCAAACCCTGCAGGAGGATGTTGGCATTGCTAGGGGGTGCAGCAAGTCACAAAGACTTTGTCCAAAGTGTCATCACTGATGATGAATCTGAACTATTGTCTAAGAAAAGATTTCCCAGAATATACATCGTGGAAAGCCATGATGACTTTGCCCAAGGTGACATCTCTTGAACATACAGACAATGCTGAATTCAAACTATAGTCCATGAAAAGATTTACCAGAATACATTGTTGGACTGTCCACGAAGCCCAGACGATACTGTCATATCTTGAACATACAGACAATGCCAAATCTGAACAATTGTCTAAGAAAAGATTTTCCAGAATATACATTGTTGGATTGTCCACAGAGCCACAACAATTTTGTCCAAAGTGTCATCTGTCTGACGGTA